ATGTTCACCAGCTGGGCAGCACCTTTATCTGGGTGCAGTGATGATAATAGTCAGATGTGACTTTGTGTTCACAGGTTTCTTCGTGAGGCGCAATGAGGACATTTTCACTGTCCACTGGTTGGACCTGGCTGAAGCTCAGGAGGTAGAGTGGGTCATCCACTGACTGGAAGACTGGTGGGTTGATCCCTGGCTGCTCCAGTTTGCATGCCAAATATGCAAATATCAATGGGCAAGAATCCTCTTAAGCACAGGAAAACATGCGGCCTGTTGTATAAAGTGCTCTGTGCGCTCCGGGAGAAAAGAAAAGCAATCAGCCCATTTAACGTTCAAGTCATGTGTGAGGGCGTTCATAAGGGACAGGTGTGCGAGTCTCTCCCATCGTCTCATGGACCATAACTATGATTTGACACATGGAGAATGTTGTGCTCTTTGTAGCAAGCTGGTAGCTAGAAAATAATAATAATACTAGTAATATTTTCATATTGGCTCCTGATGGGACTCAGCAGATAGTCCATTGTGAAAAATGCACCATGTTTGACTATGATGATGATGCTTGGCAGTACAAACAGAAAAAACAGTAACTAATAACTTTCTGTCACACATTGACAGAGAAATGTCAAAAGGAAGAGTAGAGTGTGTTTGAACGCTGTGATACAGGTGTTACAGCACCCTCTGCACTCCTGGCCTTTCTTTGCTTTCACACAGATCTTTGAATTTTGCTGCGCAGAATGACGAGTCAGCGCAGTCTGACAGTCTGACACTAGAGGGAGCTCTCTGGAAACTCATTTCAGTTCTACATATTTGTCCTATGGAGAGAGCCATGATTGTTTTCCGCTAACTGACGTACCTCCTGCAGACCGTGCTTTGAAGAAAGCATAATATTTTTTCTTTTGTACATATAATGATTGATTTTAAAAGTGTGCTAGGTGTTAGACCCTTTAAAATAATAATAATAATAATAATAATAATAATAATAATAATTGTTGGGTTGTGTTAATATGAGCTACCAGACATACCAGAAAATAACGTATTATTATTATTTGATCCTGTCGGGGTCTCCTTTTAGTAAATTAAAATATGAAGCTTGTGTGGATCTGCATACATCACTGTGTGCACACCATAGATGGACTGGCCATCGGGCATACCGGGCATTAGCCCGGTGGGCCGCTGGCGATTTTTTGTTTTTATGGGCCGATGGATTTTTTTTTTTTTTTTTTAGGATGGTATATATAATGAAAGGTGTTGGCTTGGCCAATTGGTCATGATCGACTCTGGGCTGGACCAATTACAGCCGAGGAGGCCGGATGCACCCTCCCCCTTGTTTAGCAATCACGTGATTTTCGCGCATTGCATGCCGGGAACTCGTGGCAAAACAATCCAAGTACCGCATCAAATGCAAGCATTTGCAGCACCGCAAAACGTTCATTCTCCGGTTCCAATACCTTCTTGTTTTTTCTTTGCCGCACAAAATAGGAATGTACAAAACAAAAGGAGAACAATGCCGGTCCGTACAAAGACAGACTCGACGAAAAGTCAAAGAAAAGATACACAGCAAATCCATCATGTCCAAATTAACACTGTCGGATTTGATTTCAACACTATTAAAGTGTCTATATGGGTCCACACCAGAGAGTGTTAATTTAACTCCTTTTGGAGAGTTGGTACGTTAACTCTGATTTAGTGTTAAACACCAAATCTGTCTGAAGTTGATAATTTAACACTTGGTGTTAAGAGTTTATATATTAACTCTCAAAGAGTATTTTAGTTTAACTACGTAAGAGTTATCTTCTAATTCATTCTAAAAAGCGGGAATTTTACTGTTCTGAACTTCTAGAAATTTCTTTTGGAAATAAACATTTACTAAAAAGACGCAATGGTTTTTGAAAAACATTTATTCTGAACTGTGCACCACAATTTCAAAACATTTTCTGAAAGATGTAACAGTGTACATGTTCTCACTTTCATTAGAATTTTGTTTATCAAAAGGTCTGACATGGTAAATGCAAATAACAGCATCTCATCACTTATTTCTTCAATACAATATGCATGTCCTTCATTCATCACTTTGTGGAACTTCAACGCACTTCTGCTCTCCCCCATATTCCATCTTCACAAGCATATCCTGTGTGGAGATTGAATAAAAATTAGTTGACAGTAATTAATGGCACAAATAATCCAGTAAACAATTGCAGCCCAGTAAAAAAAAAAAAAAGGAATCCTCTTTGAGCCATTACTTGTGTAAAGTATTTTCCCAAAAGACAAAGACACAGGCAACAGGTAATACTGAACTAAATGTAAAACCTCAACCTTTTTCATTTTTACCTAAACCGTGTGCACAAAACTCTGGAGGGATCTATGCTAACGTAGAATCCAGTCAGGACGTCTGCTACTGCTGTTTGCTCGTGTTTTTTTTTTATTTTTTTTTATGGGCGATCGTTTTCAGGCTTCAAGTAGCACCATTATACCAACATTTCACATTCTAGACATTGTTTTAGGCGTATTTGACCAAAAGTTTGACTGAAAATTCACATGCAAGCTTTTTTTCAAGGCTGTGGTATTTGCCCGCAAACAATACCTTTCAGCTAGCTAAAACAGAATATTATGCTATCACCGAGCAACATGGCTAATGCCTTTCACACAGCTTTGTCTCAACTCCAAAGAGCCACAGAAGTAAAAGCTCATAATAACAATTGAAACAATCTTTGAAAAAATGACTTACCAAGCATGGCAAACAACTCAAATATGTAGAGCAAAATGTTCTGAAACGGCTTCACTTCAGCTTCGATTGGAGCCGTGCTGGGGGCGGAGTCTGTGAATTTACTCTGTTGGTGTCATAGCCCGTCTAGGAGTTCAGAGTTAAGAGGTCAAGAGTTAATGTTTCCATTGTAACACCTCCAGATTTGACAGAGAAACACTCATTTTTAACACTCGATTTTAACTACTATCATTTTACACCTCAGAGTTACATTAAAAGAATGTGACTCTGCTTAGAGTAAAATTAACTCTACTTTTGCAAGAAGACTATTAACACCAAAACATTTAACACTTTTGAATTTGCTGTGTACGAGGAAAAAATCAAAGGAGTGAAAGGGTCAGACCCTTACGAGCACACAGAGTGGACAAAAGACGTTAGCGTGCTGCCCAACTTTCACCACGCTCAGATTTATAATTATACGGTTCTTGGAGTGAGTGCATACACTCATGAAGTTTAGTAACTTCAGGTCACTGCAACAAGTCCAGGTACAGTTTACCGACGGATGGGTGCAGGACCTTGAAATGCACCGTGTAGAAAGTAAAGACCATCGTACGTATCATAAGTTTACCAGTCTCACAAATCGTCTTCATAAATACACATTCGTTAACCGTTTATTAATAGGACCTTTGAGCTCAACGGTAATTAATTAGTAGTGGAAATAATTTCTGGTACAGAAATGTAGCAGTGACAATAATACTGTATGCTGTAATCGCACTGGACAATTAGTGATACAAAACAACTGTTTTATCCTGTGAATAAAAGTATATGTTTTTGTCAGTGTACCATAATAACAGAAGCGAAACACAATATTGTGTCAGGACAATTCACTATTTATGCACAATAAATAAAGGAGCATAGCGCGACAATTTCTGTTCAGCGTCAGACTTGCTTGTAACCTATATCACTAATTATGTTAAGAAAAATGATGTAATAACTACTACAAAACTCTGACCTTTGTGGGAATGCTTGGAGCAGACTAACATGTGAGCTGGAGTGTTCTGAGACGTTATATTTGGTATATCCAGACCATCCGTTGGCTCTTACTTCGGAAACATGGCTTAAAAAATTTCTCTTCAACGACGTAATCCGATAAAAAAAACGATTTCTTTACCCGTCGGCTTCCCGTGGCTGTCATGCGACCGGCTATTGCAGTTAATAATACAACAGCTTCTTGACATTTTTTGGGTTTCTTATTATCGCTGTGTGACTGAGTTCAATTGAAAGCCTGCGTGCGCTAGTACCTCTTGCCACAAGTTCCCAGAATCCTTTGCTGTTTTACCCCTGAATGACATCACATTTTCAATCTTTATCCTGGTGGGCCGGTCTCTAGTCAAAATGCCCGGGCCGATTTTTTGTCCCAGTCCAGCCTTGGTGCACACATGCACACAGTGATGTATCCAAGTCTGACCATGTGGATGTAAAAAGCTTCTTAAATCGGACCAGGTGCCTATTTTGTGTGTGCGTGGTACATGTTGGCCCATTATATTATATTATATTATATTATATTATATTATATTATATTATATTATATTATATTATATTATAAACTTTTCAAACAGATGACATGAGAATAGAATAGAATGAACTCATCAGCACCGATTGGTTAAGGCTGATTTAAGGGTTGGGCAGGACAGGAAATGAGCCACCGGGAACGCGCAGTGTGAGGATACGCGCTCCCACAAGTTTTTTTGGGATCCGGTGTAGCGTCAAGTCAAACTGCAGAATACCGGAAGTGAGGCGTTTTCGGCTTCACAGTAAAAGCTTAATTCCTATTTGTATGGTCCTTATATGCACTTTATTCTCAATCCTTAAATCTAAAATTTGATATACAGAGAAAAAACAAAAACTTCCTTTTTTATGTAATATACACTGGTCTGTGTGGAGTCTGGAACTGGATTATTTCCCTCAGTTTAACTTCTACAATGACAAAAAAAAAAAAAAAAAATCCAATCTAAATTGAGATAAATAAAAAATAGAACCTAAAAGTGTTTAATATTGTGTAGCCTAGCCAAATAAACATGAGAAGTGGCATTCTCAAATGTCAGTACTAATAATAATGCTTTTTTTTTCCTAAGGCAAATGAGCTACAATTAATATACAAGAGAGTAGCCCGCTACCACAAAGTTATCATTACAATGTAAACACATAAATATGACATAAATATGTTATCATTATTTATTGTCAGTTATTAAATAATAATAATAATAATAATAATAATAATAATAATAATAATAAGGGCTCATCTTTCTAGTTTTATTGTGAAAGTCACGCCGGAAGTGCTCCGAGTGCCAGCCTCCAGTATCAGCAGCGGTGTTGGGATTCAGTGTAGCAGCAAGGGAAATCAGTGGAATCTGGGCTATCTGGGAAAAGGGCAGTCGGTGAAAACCGGCAAGAATCCCGGCGAAGTGTCCACCGTGACACCGCAGAAGCTCCCGGCGGACTCCTCGGTCCCGTCTCCCGCTGCTGGCTGCGGTTTTTCCTCCCTGGATCCGCACAGTAAGTAGCCCGATTCCTCGCTCACCTAAACGCATCTTCATCGCACCGCATTCACCCTTTCCCTCTCTCTCGGTAACCTTTGTGGATCAAGCACTAAAGCGGCTTCTCCTGGCTGCTGGAACACCGGAGCTTTTTCGTTTTGTGACAAATGCATCACGATTTCCATTCGTTAACATCCGCTGCAATAAGAGCTAATTAATTCCGTTAGAAGCTGCATGTGTGCAAAGAAAGGAGAAGGATGTGAGGGGGGGGGGGGGGGGTGACAGAAAAAAGGCACTGGGGTGTCTGCATGTGCACACACGGGCTCGCTGCTCGTAGTGTCACACTGCGCCGGGGCCTGCTGCGCACACACTCCCGGCCTGTATGCGCAGGGTCGCCGGGGAACAGCAGCCGGCTTGCATCGCCTTTCCAGGCGGAATATCGGCGTAGCTCCGAGGCCAGGCATGCCGGGCTGACGCGAGCTAGGCGTGGCCTTCATATAGCATTACACAGATATGGGCGTGTCCCCCGCAGCTGCCTCACAACTCACTGCTGTCCTGTTAAATCGCATCCACATATTACGCGCATTGATGTGATTTGAGCATCAGTTTCCATTTTCGTGATGTTTTGTGTAATAAGCAGACGAAGGCTCGCCCCGAGGCTTCTTTAAAAGTCCTTCCAAACGCAGCATCATTAGACATGCAGGCCTGCCATCTGTCTGTCCTCCTCCCGTGCACCGTCAGGGTCTAACTTCCTCTCTTGTCTGTCCTCCTGCTCACACTCCTGTCCGTCTGCACTGACGGACCCAGCAGGGTTAGAAGTGGTGGTCAGCCATTTTTTATGTGTGTTGCTGTAAGCTGTCAGGTGTTTAAATGACGTGACTCCACTGTATATATATACAATATATTTATAAGCATTATATTTCTTTGATGTCATCCATTGGTTTTGGATGCCTCAGTGTTGGTGGTTACGGTGTGTGCAGTGTTGTTTGTTTTTGAGTCCATAGAGATGTGCAGTGGTATTAGGAAATGCTAGCAGGGCGGTTAGCTGAACCCACAACTGTACAACACACAGATTCACATGTCAACAACCAACCTTTTGGAAGCCTTTCCTGCACAGCCAGCCATATTATTGACACTAAATATAGGGGCGTGGTTTAGTTGTGTTACAGCCATTAGAGGTGTGGCTTAGCAGGCGCTGATTTGATACAGCTCCCAACAGGCCATGTTAATAATAATGCTAAAATTACACAAAATGATCTTATTTTTTAATATAATATGCAGGCACTTACACAATATTTCTGCCAAACCACAGTTATTGTGATTGTTTTTTTTATAACCAAGAAGAATATCATCAGTACTTTTTATCACATGCTGGTATTACTATTTGAATTGTATGTTCCATGCTGGTGTGCATGGCTGAATGCGTGTTGTATAAAGTGCCGTGAGTGCTCAGGTAGAGTAGAAAGCGCTGTATAAGAACCAGTCTGTTTATCATGACCACTTCAAAAAGTAGTGAGATGGCAATGACGAAAGATCTTCCTTTTGAAGTATCCAATGGTTACTCATGTCTGTCTTTTATATACAGTCTATGAGAGAGAGCAGAACATGGAGCAGTTTCTCTGATTAACGTGGTTACGGTTAATCTTAAACTCCTGAGTGCAAACCAGACCGAACAGGCAAACAGCTAGAAGGGCAAACCTGCAGCTCCACATGGGAGATTGTTCCAGGAGCTTTGCTGGGAAGATTTCAGGTATGAACATCCTGACGCGTTCACTTGCCGTGCTCGTCTCTAAGGTTCTTCGACAGGCTTCCTCCTGTCGTTTCAGAGCGTCCGTGTCGAAGCATGTTGGTTTTTGCTGGTCAGATGCTCCAGCATCTCCATACAAGACTCATGTTGTTTTTCCTGCTCGTGTCTCCGTGGACCTGTTGCTACAGCTGCACACGTTTTTACACAAGTCTCTCCACAGCTACAAGATCTAAGCTTCATTCACTCACCATTGTAGTAAAAGGAAGGGCTGTGGCACACACTTTGTACCAATGTGTGACTGAAGATGTAGGAGCAGTGTAGTGTGTTCAGTCACAGAAGCCTGATGTAAGTGTACTGATGTAGTGCAACATGAAGTTGTACTTACAACTGATTTTGTGGGAATGAGACTGTGATCACAAACTCTTCTTTAACTGAGGAGTTAATCGCGTCCACTCGTGACACAAGACAGGAAATGATATATAAAGTATTCAGAGTGATTTCACCACACTAAGAGCTTTAAACGTTTCTCATTCAAATGTGTGATGCCTCATTTCAACCAAATGTTCTTAAAACCACTCGTAAAGGCGTAAACGTCTGGAACTGGGCTCGTCAGAGCTCCAGTCTAATCGTTCTGGCAGTTTTGAGAAGTCCCGCCTCGATAACGCGCTCGCGTGCGGCAAAGTGGGGCAGGATCCCGTGTCTCCGGGTGGTGCTGAGAGTGAACTGGAGTATAAAAATCTCAGATGCCCTAATTCCACTCAAGGCTTCCCCAGCTATGTGTGACCAGCCCCTGGACTACACTGTCCACTGTGCCCTCACTAACATGCTGATTTAGTCGCCTGGCGCCTTTTTAAACAGCGTGACACCATTTTTGATGGTTTTAGCATTGATGCAGTACGAGTTGCTGCTTATTGCTGGCAAGGTGTGGATTACATGTTTAAATTGTTTAAATATCGTGAACATCATTTGGCTAACCATTGCAGGGCTCTCAAAATTTCAAAATCCCTGGTAGCCCTTCGGGCAGGGACTCTTCAGTTTTTGGTAGCCCAAAATAAATGTAAGTAGCCCGAATAAAAAAGAGAGCAATTTTTTGATTGATGTTTTGTTTCCTTTACAATATTATACATTAAAGTATAATATTGTAAAGGAAACAAAACATTCATCAAAAAATTGTTGAAACACAAATTACAACATTGTATAAAAATTACAATCATCAACTCAAACACTTGGTTCTAATTGAACAGAAATTTCTATGAACTTGTAAGAACTGTGTAGGACTTGAATCAGTCTGTGTCAGATCCTGAATTTGAAATTTCCACTGAAGTCACGGGTAAGAGGCAAGTGGAACCAAGATCGAGGCCGTTTGCTTTTTGAAGTTTGCACAGACTGCTGCATTGTGCCAGTGGTAGTTCACTCTTTGCAACATAGTAGCTGTTCTAAACTGATTTTTCAGGTTTATTTTTAGTATGTTATTTGCAATTGGTGTTTGTTCTGGGAAAGATATTGCAGACTGAGCAATAATGCATTTCTTGCATTTCTCATGGGTTCTAATGGGGGCCTTTCTTAAAATGACTGGTCCCAGTAACAAAGGCGCTTGTCGACTCAGAAATCGAGAGAAAACCAACAACACAGCCGGCAGAACATTATGTTATTTACACGGGTGCACATAAGTGGTCCGCATGTGCGCATTCGCTGTCAAAATAAAAGACGCACCAGATAAGAAGTTGCAGCGCGCGTTTGCGTCCATATAAAAGACACTGTTTTTGTCCTAGAGTGGGATTTTCACGGCACATTCTGCACCACATCTCTGTGCGTTCATCATTTGTTTGAAGCCAGCTCACCTCCTGCAACCACTTTTCCAAGAATACGCGCTTCTTTTGTGGTTCGGACTCCTTCTGACATTTGTTTGGAGGTGGAGGAACATCACAGTAATTGCTTAAAGGAGCTTCTTCGACATCTTTAAGAGTTCTAAACAAATGTCTGTCCTCCTCCTGAAAATCTTATGTACGCAAACACGCGTTGCAACTTCTTATCTTGTGCGCGTTTTTTATTTTGACAGCGAATGCGCACCTGCGGACCACTTATGTGCAGCCCTGGTTATTTAGCTCGTCATGTTGCAGCCACAGAAATTCTTTTGTCCATGAAACCATGAAGCTGCACTTTCTTTTTGCCTTATAGTCTGATTTGTCACAACTTTTCCGTTTTGTGGTAAGCTTTTCTTTGGCTGTCACTTCTTCCCCCTGACCTGTCTTATTTGGCTCAGCAGAACTAAAATATATATCTGTCTGTGAAGGTTCTCAGTCATCCAGGTCATCGTAGTCAAATATAAATCCTGCTGCTTTTACACACACTCACATAACGCTCAGCGATTCTCTGCGCGATCAACCTCTCACATGTTTAAGCTGCGGGAGATTTCACTTGTCATGTTTGCATAGTGAGCTAACGATTGATAAGACGATGTCAGAGGAATTGGTGTGCAAATTATCATCACTCACAGATCAGTGCTGTCGCTCTCTATACACAGTTCGCGCGATTGCAAAGTGAAAGCAAAAAACAAGCGCAAATTCAAACACGATTTCAATATGTCACATATTGACAGTGGCTCACCGATGCCAATGACATAATTACCCAGCTACATTTCCGAAAGAATGCAAAAGCATTGACATATATTTTTCCTTCCTACAATAGCCCGACGGGCAGGGCAGAGATAGATTTTGGTAGCCTGACTGGCAAAATCGCTAGCCCCGGGACGTCGGGCTGCCTTACCCACCTCAGCTCACCAAGGCAGTACAGGCACTGCCTTTTAATCCAGTCCTTGTACCCATGAATCATCCAAGCATAAAACACCTAACTAGAGAGAGATGAGTTAGTGTTGTGTTTACATGTACCAGACTTAGCAGTTGTGTCATTAGCTTGATTTTGTTCCCATTTCTGTGGTTGAATCCATGAAAAATGCTCCAATGGAGACACTTTGGAAAACTGCACCTCTTCCTCCTGTAACTATATACACTATATATCTATGTGCACTGAACAGATATATTTTAACTTTCATGTAGAGTCTTAAGCACAAGACATTTTGCTTCACCGAGGTTTATTAAGGTTTTACAGTAACAGGGCAGGTAATGTAAGGGGAGAGTTCTCCGGTAACTAACCTTCCCCAATACACACTCAACGTCTTTGAGTGTTACAATGTTACCAAAACAGTAACATTGTAACAGAGATCCTGAACACATCACGATAAAATATCATACGACGATATAATCACACACACA